TACAACAATGCTCCTTCCTCTCCATCTATAACTTCAATGTTTATCCTACCGTTTACTCTGCTATGTATTCTTATTATCCCTGTGTGAACTCTCATCTATTCCGTCTTGTCTTTCGCTCCTATTCTGTTGCTGCTTTAACACCTGGGGATCAATAATCTTTGATAGACTTAAACCCAAAAGATTAGAACACATGTCTTCGGACAATATATTACCAGCTATAATTAATGAGGCGAAAAGCAAAAGGTTTTAAAATGTGTTCCCTTACGACATATGTTCATCGAAGTGTGACAATATAAAAATAAGGGAACCTGATTACTTATGGATTACTTCTATATCCAGTGCAACGCTGAGAAATAGTGAAAGAAATATCAATAGGATGTCTTTAATTTAAGTGTAATATGTCTGAACAATGTAACTTTAGCAAATAAGAGGCCCTCTTATGCTATACATGACTTTTTTTTATATAACTGTAATTCTATATAAAAATGTATTCCGTTACTGCCAAGCCTGTGTTTTGACAGATCGTCCTACGAGACACTTTCTGTCTGTGGATGTATGCACAAGACTGACAGCATTAATTGAGTGTCTGAATGTATAAATGAGAGAGGGAGCGTGTTTGATGGTGAGCCCTCATTCATACAGTAAATCTCCTGCTGAATGAGACACTTGAGAGTGAGACACTGTTGACGGGCAGCTCGGGGGTTGGAGCTTCTCTTAAACTGCGCTCTAACAATAGGTTCCTCCAGTTGTGTTTATATGGTAACCATGCATCACAGGGCCCTATTTACCTCTATGGTTAGTGATGACAGCAGACAAAAAGCATCAGAGAGCATGGTGACAATATGGTATCCATGAGTCAATACCATAGACTGTATATATAAATACACAGGAACGCATTACCCAATCGGCACTGCCGTATATCTTCTGGACTAAATATAGATCTATATAAAAATAGATCCTACATAACATTCATCATACTTGTTGCCTTTTCTCTTCCAGCAATGCAATTATATGTATTTTATTTTATGTGATCTGAAAAGGCAAGTCAAAATGGTCTTTTACGGCACCTGAAAAACAGTGTACAGAGTAGGCCACAAAATACTGACTTCCATGAAAACTGTGTCATCTCAACACCTTTACTTACAACAGGCAGGTTTTGTCTGTTTTTTTAAATATTGACTTCAGTAAGCAACTTAGAACATGGATCACAGTCCCTGTAACATCCTGCATGCATATTTTTGCAATTTAATGCCCCGGCCACACGAGGACGAAAACGGCTAAACGCATAGGATTAATGCAAACGCAATCGCAAAAAAGCTTGTGTCCACACGCAATAGTCATCCGGATAGTGTCTGTCCACACGAGACCGCTCCGTTTAGCTCCAACCGCTGGAGAAGCTGCAGTACAAATGCAGGAGCCTGTACGTGGCGCTGTAACTTCCTCCACAAAAGCAGCGAAGAAGCATGGTTGTCATGGTTGCCCTTCTGTTTATTCTCCGCGGTGGGGGCCGAGGGAACCGGGCAGAGTTTTTCGCCAGTCAACGTGTATTAAAGTTTAAATCTTCCGACAAAATTATAAAAGTGCCGGTCAAAGGTCTTCTTTGTTATTTATTGAGCTTTAAAACAAATGAATAACGACTCTATATAATATAATAATAAAATACACGAAGCCTCTCTTTTTCCTCCCTCTCTTCGGACAGCGTCAGTGTCTGTTTCATGCAGCAGCTGATCCAGTAATGAGTGACCCGGCCGACAGTAAAAATAACATATTTATAACTAGTTTAGGTAGTTTGAGAGGTGTCTCCGTCCTGTCAGATTAGACTTCACTCGCGTTTATGTCCATATCGAGAGAAAGATAAATAATCTGAATTCAGTGTGCAGTTTACTTTGACGCGGGGGTGAGCAGCAGAGGTGGGGAGAGGCGGGGCTATTGCCTCATCATTATCAGAAAATGATCGTATAGGGCGTACACACGGAGCCGTTTGACCCCCCAGAGCGTTGCGTATGCCGTTCTATCCACCTTGGGACCCGTTATCGTTTCCGCAGTCGTTTAGTGCCATATTCGGTCGTCCTCGTGTGGCCGAACGGTCTATATGACACTAAACAGTAACGCAAACGACCGTTTTCGTCCTAGTGTGGCCGGGGCATAAGTATTGACTGTTTTATCATTTGCATGTTAACAATTTAGTCAAATTCACAGTGCTTTTGAGAACTGATACAGTTTGAAGATTATGGATCATTTTAACTTTATTTGTTTTAGAGCAAACAATGTATACAATTCCAGAAGACTAATATCTTATCAGATGCATTAAGAGTGTCTTTTTATCATTCCCATAATCACAGTCAGCCTGTACCTCTGCTGTCATCTGATGATGGTTAAACGTCCAGTAAAAACAGTAAGCAATCCATCTGACAAATAGATTTAAAAAGTGAAGGGGGACAAGAAGAAAAAGGAAGGACACAAGAACAATTTGGGTAATTAGATGAAAGCTAGTAAGGTCAGCAGACAGACAGAAGAGTATAACAGAGCAGAGGAAGAAAAGGAGAGAGAAGGACAGAAAAAAGAAAACATATGAAGAGAGGTTGATGGAAAACAAGAATGGAATCAAACGAAAGAAAAAAGTTCATAAGGTGGGATGGAAGGAAAGGACAAAGGGAGGGATATAGTAACAAGAAAAAAGTGAGATGAAGAAAGAAAAGAAGAAAAAAGGGAAAAACAATGGGGATAACGAATTCATGAAAGGATAAAAGAATAAAAGCGAAAACAGAGAATAGCTTAAAAGGCAAAAAATAAAGTAAACCTTAAGAAAAAGGAGGGAAGGAGATATGGAACCGTGAACAATGAGGGAATAAACAACACAAAATTGGAGTCAAATAAAGAAACAATGGAAAAAGTCAAGGACCGACTTTGATTGGGAACACATATGTTGCTGCCTATTTTGAACTCACTGAACCGGTTTTAATTAGCAGAGGTTAATCAAGGCTGCACTCAGCGAACATCCAATAAAGCGAGCCTCCGTGCTCAAATCAGACGCGGGCTGGCTTCCTGTTGCCGGGCCATAAAGAGCAAGTGACGGCAGTTCTCACACGACTCGTTTGGTCTGCGTTGTTTGAGTTAGCGGAACAAACACGTGTGGTGAAATGCGACTAACCTCACAGCCCTTCTTTTCAATTACCCACAACATAGAACGCTAACCAATGAGCTATCAGCTGTAGACAGGGCCTTTTCACAGACAAACACGCAGGAAATGAACACCACGTAACGCTGTCAGACCCAATTTCAACGACTGTAAAGACCGCTCTCATTTTTATAGTTGTTTACTTTCCATCGTGTTTGTATGTGTGATCAGATTTTCACATCAGCCTCATTGTGTGTGGCCAAAGCTCTTCAGTTCCTTTAATGACCACTAGATGCTGCCTTTAAATACAATTATTATTTTCTTGATGGGAATTAAACATTTCAATATAATAAGAAAGATATCAAGGCCTTTCTGATACATTATTATGTAGAACAATTCATTTCCAGGGCAAATTTGATTTAATTTTAAAGCAAATTTGAGGCTCTAGCATTCTACATTAAAGAGGGTGGACGTTTTCCGGAGTTTCCTTCCTGGGGTTAGATCCCTCCATCTTGGCACAGCAAGAAGACAGCTCAGACAAACACACAAAGAAGCTTGAGCCAAAACACTCTTAGGAACAGCTTTGGAAGATGCCTACTTGATTTGCCCAACCAACTACTGAAGCCATATATTGACATTAAATCAACTTTTTTTAAATATGGATTCCCCCCCCCCCATTACTTTCATTAGAAGCATGTTAGGATGTTATCTGTTATTGGCTATGAACAGGAGGACTGACTATTGTTGTAGGACAGACTTGAAAATGTAACAAACCTTTAATACTATATTCGTTTAAATTATACTCTTCCAATATTAATCACAGAGTTGGAAGGATCACATATTAAAAGGGTTTTTATTGACCATTTCTGGCCCTTGTTGGTGCATGGAGGAACATTTGAACTCTGATGACGGAGCGTCTTAAACTCTGCTTTATATCAGCTGTCTGAAAGTCATCCCTGTGAGGGGAATCCACAACTCAGCAGCTACTCTGCACGGCTGGCTGCTGCTTTTAGCGCTCAATCTCTCACTTAGTCTCTCCAAAGGCTCAAAGAATGAGCTACAGCACTTAGAAATCCCAAAACACATCCCACCAAAGACACATCCAAAACAACATGTTCCTGATTTTATTTTGCTCTCGTCAGTCAGCAGTGGAGGACTGAAGGGATGAAATGTGTTCGAGCACATCCGTGCAGAACTACGTGTTGCACGGAACAGAAAAAACATTACTCTGACTGACACTAAGTCAATAACGCAGCACTGAGGCTAAATGGGATGGATCTGTCAGTAATAAAGCACAGCCAGGTATCCTTGAAGAAGAACTCTTTAACCCCGACCGCCCTCCCAACAGTAAGGAGAAACAAGCCAAAAAAACACAGATAATGGAAACCCTCCAAACGATGACAGAGGGACTGTACGGGGAGAGACATGCTGAGCCAGGCAGGCTTACACACACACACACACACACACACACACACACACACACACACACACACACACACACACACACACACACACACACACACACACACACACACACACACACACACACACACACACACACACACACACACACACACACACATACACACACACACACACACACACACACACACACACACACATACACAAGGCGTTTACAGTCTGTATTTTTGGTAAATAATAAAAGAAAACGCTACATTTTGGAATACTTAATTTCAATCGAGCATCAATATATCTAGATACAAACCCCATGTCAAATCAAAGGGGTTGCTATTTGCAGACATCATGAAAACAACGAGACCTTTAGGGGGTCTAATTTGAATCAATGTGATGACATGACAACTCTTTCACCAACTCTGTGAACACACACATACAGGAGGGGTGTTTCTGGGACTGCTCTTACCCTGACAGTTGTGTCCGTCGTGGGCTAGCATGAACCCATCGTAGCAGGTGCACCTGTAGTTGCCAGGTATGTTGATGCATTCATGGACGCAGCCTCCGTTGTAGTCGTTCTCACACTCGTCCATGTCTGAAAGAGAAAGGTGGATGTGTCAACTTTTTTTGGTTTGTCTTCACTAGTTTAGGTTGTCTCTGCTGTAGAGGCTTGCTTTTGAAAGGCCGATTACATTTTTTGAATATTGTACCTTCACAGTGAGGTTGTCATTCCATACAAATTGTAAAATTGCAATTGATTTGGTTGTGATTTATTTTTTCAATGTTGAGTTTTCCTCCAACGCATTATTTTGAGAAATTTCTAGCCGTAAATGGTACATTTTTGGTTTTAAAAGAAGGCAAATAAATGGTATAGTAAATATGATACAGTAAATATGGTAAAGAAAATTCCCTAGAAAACAACGTCAGTTCAAATCTTAATGAAAATGACCGATGTCACAAAGAAATGTAAAGGGTAATTAAAAGTGTGATTTATTTGCATCGAGTCATCAGTTTTAAATAGTTTTTCAATGCTGACGAGGATGGTGATGACGTTGATGGTGCATCACTTTCATGTTTTGATTTGAATGAATTTGTTACCCTAGCAGCGTTTCAGTGCAGTAATGGGGCACACTCAGGAAGGGGTAAAGGCAGTTGGTTCTTAAAGCGAGGCAGGAGAGGGAAGTGTCAGCCGGTGTTTATTCGTCTGGGGATGCACCCACCCAACCTCCACGCTGAGCCAGTGGAGGCTTTCACAGGAGGGGCTCACAAGTGGTTGCCATGCGGAGCCACTTAAACAAACATTCCTCCCCCTCCGTGTGAACAGCAGGAGATCCGGCAGGCAGCGAGGAAGACCCTGGCCCACATCCTCCTCCTCCTTCCCCCCCTCCCTTCTGAAGATGACACAGTGCAGGTATCTGCCCACGCTCCACGATTCAGATGCTATGCTGGATCCGTCCAACTTGTTCTCTTCCTCGTGCCAAAAAGGATGTCAGATTGATGAAAACAAAGTCGCTCTTGGCTTTTAACTCGTCCCCCTTGCTCATAGTCCCATCCTTTACTCTCTTCCTGTCCCCCAACCTCTCTCTCTTTCTGCCTCTTGCTTTACTTCACACCATGGCTGTTGCCTGTCAACATTCCATTACTTCTTGCTTGAATGCCTGCTCGCCTCAGTTTGACTGTCTGTCCACCTGTCCTTCACTGTGTCCAACAATCTGACAGCTGATATCAATGAAGATATATTGAGAATGGAGTCACAGACCGCTCTAAATGTCCCATTACAGGTGTGATAACAGAAAGGGTTATATATTTGATATGGTAAGTCACAAACATGACTCTTCAGCTTCTGAATGTAGACATACCCAACAGCTTGACACTGATGTATTATTTCTTATTTCTAGATTTGACTTTAACTATTGTGTCCATTCTTTCTATTTCTCCTTGCACTGGATTTATTTAGTAAGTATATTGTTTTGTTGCATTTTTGGATTGGATTTTTATTGGCAAAACTACATTGTAGCTGTTGTGCATATGACAATAAAGCCTTTGGATCTTGAGCATATACAAAAACTCAAAAAAGCACAACAATAACACAGAAATCAACACATGTCTGCATAGTGACTAATACCACAAGTGCAGGCATGAGAATGCAAAAATGAAGACTCACACAATGCAAACGCACAAACAACAAACAACAGGATTGTTTATCACACTTATCACAGAGACCTTCTACCCACAAAACACTTCCATTCAGATGGATAACATCGTGATTTGGGCTTAAGAATGAACGCTTTGAAAATACCACGCGACATAAACATGAGAAGAGCTTCATCTAAGAGGTTTCACTTAAAAAAAAAATCAATGCCACATTCTGTACCATGAAGCGCCACAGACATGTTTACCAGAAGCCAATTACACAAGCATCAGTGCATTGTAATACCGTCTGTTTGATCTCTGACGAAAGATCCCAGTCTCTGTACTTGGGGTTCAAAGGAATACTCACATCCACACATACTCACACGTTTTAGAAGAGAAGAATGATCAAAAGGGTATTTTCTTTCAAAAGTGTCCTAAAACTGACCTGAGAACTAGTTGAATTGAGCTGCATGTGTGTCAGAACAACAGGAATTGATCTTACCGGTAAGGAGAACCAAAGAAAAACAATCACAGGGGGATTAAGTGCCGGAGCCTTGTGTATACAAACTCCTCACGGATATCACTGGCTCATCCTAAAAGGCATTTGCAACCAATTAGGCCGAGCTGGAATGGGCGAGTGTTTGGGGAAAGGTTTGTTTGGACACTTTGCTGTGCTGCCAGCTCAGATGGCCCGGTTCTGCACGATGTAACAGCTCTGCTTTTCATCTGTCTGAGATGAAGGGGCGAAGGTAAAGACGAGAACTAGAGGGGGGGGGGGGACTCACCACTGAGGGTAAATGAAAAGCAGCAGGTGATTAATTGGTGCCTGAATCAAACACTGAGACTACATTCACAATAAGCCGGGTTCAGTTTACACACATCTTCTTCTCTCCGTTTGGACATCCTTTTGAGTTGTTTTTTTTGTTGCCAAAAAGAGCATTTAAAGTGTGGATACAAGTTATGTAATTCAAATGTAATTTTGTTTGCTCAAGAGAATTGGAGAAAGAGTACAAGAACACACCTGAAAACACTGCCCTGAGATCTAAAGACTAAATCATGTTTACAGATTTGAATTGACTTTAATATCTGTGATTGTTTGTTTCGCACCAAATAAACAAAATAAATGTTATTGTCTCACTTTTTTGAATTGCTTCCAATGAAACACCATCTTTCGGTTGGAAAAGGTTACTTTCCGTGTCTAACCCTGATGATATCAGAAATGGCGAAGCTCCATATGCAGATACACAAAAAGACAATACAACTGTTTTCACAGGTTGAAAAGAACTTAGAACAATTATAACTTAACTGACATTTATTTATTGTGTATAATTTTGGGTGTAAGGTTTCAAGGTTAAATTGACAAATATGTCCTGATTCAATATGTCAGATAATCAAAACTGAATCAGCAGTAACTGAAAATCAAATGCTTACAAAGATTTCACAACTAAAATGAAAAGCAGAGCCTTCATGTTTTGGCATTATAGCATCAGTTGTCTAAATAGTGGAACAACACAATACAGAGTGTGATTAGTCTCTGTACTCCATTCAATTGGGTTCAAATACAGTGACATGCATCGTGTTCTGTCTTAAGGCCAGGTTATACAAAAACAAACAAGTTGAGAAAAATAATTGCCTAACCAGATCTGAATGCAGAAGTGTTTATTGCTGTTTCTAATGTTTACACATGCAAACTAACATTTAGAAGGGCAAACAGCACACAATGTATGACAATCATTTCCTCAAAGATTCTGAGCTTTACTTGTGTCCAACAATCACTGATAATGTTAGTAAAGCTTTCATTCTAGGGTTCCTGCTTGTCGTTTAAAAATCAAGAAAGATAAACTGGTTAGAGAGAAGGTTTGAAGCATGCGTTTGTGTATGTGTGACGGAGAGATTAGAGGTCGGTGGAGGGAGGAGGAAGGTGCCTCGTAGGGACTAGGTTGGCCCCAAACTGTGCCACTTCCTGCCCCTGAGCTGTTGTTGACATCTGACAGCGGTGCCCCGAAAGCTTCAACTGCTTCCGCTCTCATATGCACGTTTTCTAATTGCCGGGGAAGCGTTTATGCTCCACGTCTCATCGAGTGAATTAGGCGCCTTCGCTGACAAGCGCACGCCTCCTAACTGGACAGATGGAAGGAAGGGAGAAAGGGAGGAGGGGATGCTGCTAACAACTCATGCAGGGTGTATGCCTTCAGGTCTCAATGCCATAAGATGACTATTAACACATATTTATGATTTATTTTATCAAAAAGGTGTAATATGCTATGGCAGTTTCCCATGCACGAAAGCAAACTACACATTTTCTGGATAAAACAGTTACCAATTTATTGCCATACTTTTTGTTCTGGTTGAAGGAGGGGGGGGGGGTCTTGTTTTTTTGTTTTTAACATGTTCGCAACAATTATGTGTCAGCATGCACATTCCTGCACAGTTTACTGTAAGGACATCAAATTAGTTTCCAGTAAATGGTGTGAATCGTCTGCACTTTGATGAGCAAACATGGGCATGGATAAATCAACAGTAAACAAGCGTCAAAGCAGTGGGTTAGGGGGTGGGGGGCGATATGTGCAATTTGTAAAAAGTACAAAAAAAATATGTTGGAGATCTCTGCTGAATGAAGTGAAGCAGAAGAAGCTGAGGCCTTTTGGGTAGAATCGTGCAGGGTATCCAGGTGTCTGTACATTGTATTATTCTAAAATGTATACAATTCAAAAAAGATTCAAAATCATAAGATGAAATTAAAATGGTCAGTGCCATTCCCTTTTACTCAGTTGATTAATGTAATAAAACATGTGCAACGCACCACAGTGGTTTGTCTGCGGATTGACAGCCTTATTAAAAAAATGTAATGAAAGAGGAGAAGGTCGCTAACTTGGTCTCTTGATGTAGAAAATGTATTTTTAAATTCACTTGTGTGCCAAAATAAACGTTTTTATGAGGTCAGATTGCATGGCAAAAAATGGGAATAATTTTTAAATATTTTTAAACTATTTTTGTTCGTTACAGAAATGAAGAAGAATCCACAGTAGCAACCAAGTCAAGTTTCTTATTAAGAGTGTGAATTTGTCATGATATAAAGAAACGCTCCGACATACACTACATATCTCAGCTGTGGAGTGAAAGTCAGTACCAAGTCCAAGTGAGCTTTTACTGAGTGACATTTCCAACCAGCAATGCCAGACATCATCCGTCAAACACTGACAAGGAAGCGGCTTTGAGATGCTGGCATGAGGTCACTGTATCTATATATAAAGCCTGAGTCTGAATGAATCTGACTTGCTCCCCTGAGTCTTGCATGGAGGAAGTAGACGGAGAGACAGGAGAGAAAGAGGGAGGTGCACGGAGGATATGTGTGTGTCTGTAGGTAGCCAGTGGAAAGAGCGTCTCACTGATGACGCAGGGACAGACGCCAGGCAGACAATGGCCTAGTAATTGTCTGCAACCTGTAACATCTCCCTCGCC